CACGGTGCACAACAAGAAAAAGAGAGAGAAAAACAAAGAGCAAAGCTAGCTGTCTGCTGTCACTCTTCCTAGTCAAGGAAGGAATGAAGAAACAAAATGAAGTTGCTTGAAAATATTAACAAAAGCACTTTCCCACCATCCTGAGCCTCCTTAACCTTCCATCTGCCAATCAGACGTACAGAGTTCCCCTTCCACAGAGCCTGTGACCACATGTGGCCAGGTGGAACCAGAGAGTGGGGTGACTATGCTGGACTTTCTCAGCAGACTCAAACTACACAGAACTTTACAATCAGGGCCTTTCCTGACTGTGGCGGGACAGATGGGACCACAGAAGAAGGGCCAGAGACACATCTCTGTGTTTCTCTGAAAGGGACACAAGGCAAGGAGGCTTTGCAGAAGTGGACGGCCATATCTTTCTCCCACAGAGACACAGCTCGGTTTGAACCACTGCTTTTCAGGTGAAAAGCTGAATGCTTTAAACAATATGCACACTGGGGGCTGGAAAAGGCCAGGAAACAAACCCTCCAGAACTGCAAAGTAAGACATGTGTGTTGTTTAAACTACAAGGAGTCCTGGTGGTGTGATGGTTACAGTGCTTGGCTGCTAACCCAAAGGTTGGTGGTTTGAATCCACCAAAGGTTGGTGGTTTGAATCCACCAACTGCTCCCTGGGAGAAAAGACCTGGCAATGTGCTCCCCTCCCTACAGGGCCGTGCTACTTAAGTCACATGGGGTTCCCGTACCTCACGATGCACTCGATGGCACCCAGCAAGAAGCCATCAACTCCGAGGCCGCTGTTACAGCACCAGCAGAAAGCTAACAGGACAAAACCCAGACATCTACAGACGCCGAGCTCCTCCGTTCTCCAAGATGCCCCAGAGAGCAGCGCCTGTCCCCCGCGGCACCAGAGATTTGGCGCTGGGTAACTCGGGTGGGGGAGGCTGCCCTATGCACTGCCAGTGTCAGCAGCCGTCTGTGGTCTGGTCCACCAGGTGCCAGGGGCACTAGCGACAACTAAAACAGCCCCACCCGCTGAATAACGTCCTGAGAGGCACGAGCCTGCTGAGAGCTGCTGGATTTTCTCTATGTAACACACTCACCTAAACCACACGCACACAGGTGAACACACACCCACAACAAGGTGAACAGGAAAGGGCAGAGTAACTGAGGAGGGAGGGCGCTGCATGATATGAGCTACGCACGTTAACAGAAACACAGCAAGCCATTCCCTGCACTGTCACTCCCTGCGTCTTCCTGAGGACACGTCACCTTCTTCTCGAGCTCCTCCTCCTGGCATTACCTGGGTTCCACCACCTCTGAGGGGCCTTCCCTAAAAGGGGTCTCCCAGGCCCCGCACTTGCCGCCCACTGAAAGCGCCTCACCTTGCCTGACCTTGCTGGGTCTCTGCTCACACGTCCCCTCAGCAAGGACTCCTGTGCCCGCACTGTTAAGAACTGCACCCCGCCTCTCCCCACTTTCTCCCGTGCCATTTATCCTCATCTACCTACGTCTGCCTGTACTACGGGCAAACCTCATCTTCTCACACGTGGCTTCGGTGCACTTGACAGAGAGCCTGGGGCTTTTCACAAACGGAAGGCCTGTGACAACCCTGCTTTCATCCAGTCTACAGGCGCCACCTGCGCTGTCTGCGGCACGTCTGGCCTCGCCATGTTTCAAACGCTGTTGCTCATCATGGGCACGGCGCTCGGGGCACCGTCTGCACCATCGAGCCGCAGGAGGGGGTCGGGCAATCTCCTCCCACTACGGATTTACCGCCTCCCCACGGAGGGTCACCAGAGGTGGAACCAACTGGGAGGCAGGTGAGCTGGAGTTTGACTACACATTTAACAGAGCACAGTCTAAGGTAAGGTAACTCCGCACTGAGAAACCAGACGCCTCAGGAGACGCACTGCCCTGTTCCCTGCAACGCAGTGTGCACCCGGGCACCTCCGTGGCACCGAGGTGGGTAGTAGACACCTTCTCCGGCTGTCACGGTCACCATCCTGGACTTTGGGAGCCTCAGAACCGCTGCCAGTCTTGCTCCCTGTGATCCACCTGTGCCGAGGCCACACGAGCTCACTCGCACAGCATCTGGCCTCTTTCTTTCTTTCTTTCTTTCGCCCACTTCCTTTGCACGTCCACAATATTTCATTAGCTCTCCACTCTGACCAGGCCCTGGTACAGAGCTAAGGAAGTATGACTGACGTGCGCGAGGCGTGTCTCGCACCTGTGTCCTGCCGGGCAGCTGGTGTCACCACTGCGTCTCAGGACTGCACCTGATCCACAGAGGTGGCGTCCTGGAGTCTGTCCTGGTTCTGACCTGGGGGGGGGGGGGCCCTGTGCGTGTCAGACCACAACGGCTCCAGGGGTCTTCCGAGCAGGGACCTCTGGCAGCAGACGGGTTTGCAGGGGCCACGTTTTGGGGACTCCCACTGACGTTTGTTTGTTGTTGTTGTTGTTATGTGCCGTCGTGTTGTTTCCGACTCATAGCGACCCTATGCACAACAGCCCTAAATCCTGCGCCAACCGCACCGCCTCTGACACACCCATCCCGATTACCCCAGTCACTGAATCAATCCATCTCATAGAGGGTCTTCCCCTCCTGCGCTGTCCCTCCACCCTCCCAAGCATGATGTCTCTCTCCAAGGACCCGTCCCTCCTGGCAACATGTCCAAAGTATGTCAGACAAAGCCCCAGAATCCTTGCCTCCAAGGAGTAGCTTGGTTTAATCCTCTCCAAGATGAATCTGTTTGTTTTCCTGGCAGTCCATGGTACATTCGGTACCCTTCTCCAGCACCACAGCTCAAAAGCATCCACTCTCTTTCTGTCCTCCCTAATCACTGTCCAACTCTCTGATGTATAACAAGCGATTGCAAATACCATGGCCTGTATCAGGCGCATGTTTGGTTAAAAAAATGCCAAATTTACGGATATCAAGTCAAATCCAACTCACTGATCCTCAAGGAAAGAGAACAACCACAGAGCGCCCACAGCTACCATCCTCAAGGAAGCACAAGGCTGTATCTTCCTCGCTCCTTTCAGACAGCAACTGAGTGCTTCAACCACCGTGCCAACCGAGCTGGGTTATGTCATAAACTCTCGACTCACGGCCATCAGGTAGGAACTGACTCAAAGCTGACCCTCCAGCAGATTTTCAGAGGCTGTAAATTACATGGGAGGGGACTGCCCACCTTTCTCCCAAGGAGCAGCTCAGGGGGTTTTGTACCACCTAGCTTTGGGTTGGCAGCACAACTCCCTACCCACTGGGCCACGAGGGCTCCATCTAATAAACAGCAGGGATTTATTGATTGATTTCATTCCTACAACAGCCTTACGAACTAGGTAATAATTAGGACCCTTATTGGACAAAAAGAGGAAACTAAGGCTTAGGGAAGATTATTTGCCCATGTCAATTAGCAAGAAGCAGACAAGCCGGGCAGACAACTGGAGCCTGTTGGACTCTAGAAACTTAACAATCAGGAACCTGGAGGAGGCAGCTCAGCTTTGGAGGCCTGCCTGGGGCACCCCCACCTCCTCTACTCCCCACTTGGGGAAATAAAGGCCCCAAGGGAGAATGGGCTTCCCCTCCAATCACCACTCAGCAAACACAGCTAACTTTTATGGGGCCCTTACATCAGCCAGCCATTCTTCCGTTTCATGTGGCCTATTAACTCATTTTGCTCTCATAACCAGCTAATGAGACTGGCATTATAATTAGTCACACATTAGGCACAACAGAGGCTCAGAACGGTGAAACCAGCTGGCCAAGGTCACCCAGGAAGTAGGTAGGAGGTGGACTTAGGCTGGGCATGACCATAGCGCTGGTAACCACAGTGCCTGGGCTGACCCATGGTGACCCCCTCCAATGTCCACCTCCCACCTGCTGGGTGACCTTGAGACAGGAGAAGGGCTCCACACCACTTTTTTTAAAACTATGTACCCTCGGGAAAGCAAACTGCCAAGGCTTTCTTTTAGGGAACCCACCCGTCTAGTGCTGGGGACCCAAGGGGACCAAACCGAACTGCATCCACGGGACTCTCAACGCTGGACACCTTTACAAGATCGGGTTGCCACGTCTCCAGCCAAAAGAGCTTAACCACTGCGCTACCAGGCTTCCTAAAGTGCCCCTACCTCCTCTCAACTCACCAGGTGAGCTCAGGGCCCCCCCTGCACCCCACCCACAGCCATCAAGCCGATGCCTTCGCAGAACTGCCCCCCAGCAGTTTCCAAAGCTGCAGATCTTTTAGGAAGCAGGTTGCCACGTCTTTCTTCCGCGGCGCAGCCGGCGGGGACCAAGCGCAGGTCTTTTGGAAGGCAGCCCCCCCAAAAAAATGCTTCGGCCACTGCGCCGCCAGGGCTCCCCCAACACCCCACTTATTAGCAAAACGTAGCCCCTCGAAACTGCGCATGGCCCCCTGGACACCGGGAATGGGCAGTTTGGCAAGTCCGTCCTCCCCGCCCCCTCCCCCGGGCCGTGGGTTGTTCCTGCAACTCTCTTCCCTCTGCGGGGGGCGCCCCAATATTAGAAGGGGGAAGGGAGGGCTTGGGAAGGTGGCCTTCCACTCTCGGTGCCCAACTGGGGCCCTAATCGCGACAGCGATGTGGCCGCGAGGACTAAATCAATGGGGGGGGGGGTGCTGGGGTTCTCCCCAAGGCTGACCCGGCCAGCCCCGGGTCCACGCGGAGGCCGTGACCAATCGCTGTGTCCGGCCGACCGGCGGACCCCACCCCGGCTTCGGCCGCGCGCAAGGCCAGGCCCCGGGACCCTTCTCCCGGCTCGTCCCCGCTCCCGCCCTCCGCCGCGCCCTCGTCCAATCTGGGGCGCCGTCTCATCGGGCTCCGCGACCCCGACGGATAAGAGGTGGGCGCTGATTGGCCGCCCGCTGGCTTCCGCCACTCCCAGTGAACACGCAGCTCTGGGTCCGCGAGGGCCGCCCGCGCCCCCTTCCCCGAGGCCCCCCGTCCCCGACGCCCCCAGGGGTCCCCGGTCGCCTCCCGCACCTGGACGTCCTCGTTGCGGAGCTCGTCGATGAGCACCGCGATGGGGTACAGCGAGTCATCGCCGTCGGCCGCCGCCATCTTGGCTCTGTCCCGTTCCTGTCAGATTGCGGCCAGCGCCGTGCTGCAACGGGGATGGGGAGGGGCGGGGCTCGGAGGGGCAGGAAAGACCGGCGTGGGGACGCCCGAGCCGCTTCCCAGGGGCTACCTTACGCTCATTGGCCGCGCGGTGCCACCCCAAGCCGCCGTCTCATTGGCAGGGATAAGCCAGGTCCCGCCCACTGCCCATTTGTCATTGGTGAAATGGACCAACCTGAGACTCGCTCAAGGGTAGGAGGGGGAGGGAAAGAAACGGAAGTATGCGGTATCCTAGAAACCGGGCTTACGCCCGCCTACGTCGCCGCTGACAACGGCGGAGATGAGCAGTTGCGTCTAGCCAATGAGGGGCGAGATTGGGCGGGGCGGGACACCGCCTGTCCTTCAGCGAGTCCGGGAGATGGCTTCTGCGCGTGCGTCACTGGCATGCATTACGTCATGCGTGGACGCGGTTACTGCCAGGGTTTGGTGCTGGTGCGCATTGGTGACTGCCAATTCCCACGGCATTTTCGCCGGAGGAAAAAGAAAAAAGGAGTCTTTGATTTGTACCTGCGGAGACAGAGGCTTAGGGCAGGGTATCGACTTGCATTACCAACCAACGAACCCTGGATCTGGTATTTAAATTTAAAGAAAATTGCTGGCTCAGTGGATTATAAGTTGGGCTTCTGACAGTTTGATGGCTTAAACCCATCAGTAGTTCTGCTGCTGAAAAGATCTGCAGCTTTCCTCCCACCTCTTCACCATCACCACCACTCACCGCCCCTTCCTTTTCACAGCTGAATATACACTTCTTGTTTTTCAGGCAAGCCTCTGCCCAAGCTGGGCTTTCTATGCTGCATAAATAGTCATTCCCCTTCTTTAAATATAGTATAAGCAGTTCCTGCTTAACTATTAGCCTAACAGTTGGCAGTTCGAACCAAGGCAGTGGGAAAAAGGCCTTGTAGTCAGCATCTGTAGAGATCAAACCAAGACCACGCTTTTAGTGGATTCCAGCTCAGTGCCAAGAAAACCCAATGCAGCACAGTTCCCTTCCCAAAGGAATGAGACCCCTAGGAGCTGAAATGGATTGGAGGGCTGGGCCCCTCTTGAGAGCATCCCTCTCTCAGAGCCCTCATCCCTAGAACAGGGTCTGAATGTGTCTTGCAATCTCTCCTCCACAGAAGAGGGAGCTCTCTGGCATACAATAAAGAGTTTTGCTGTTAATTCAAGGGTTGAACCTCGCTGGTATGGACTGAGGCTCAATGTCAAGAAGGCAAAGATTCTCACCACTGGACCAATTGACAGCATCAGGATGGATGGTGAAGAGATTGAGATTGTTCACAGCTTCAGTTTGCTCAGCTCCTCGGTCAACACTCTTGGCACCAGTAGCCAGGAGATCAAAAGACGTATTGCGATGGGGAAGTGTTCTGTTAGGGACCTATCTAAAGTACTCAAGAGCAACGGTGTCTCTCTGGAGACTAAGGTGCGCTAGATACAGGCCATGGTCTTTGCGATCACTTGTTATGCATCAGAGAGTTGGACAATGACTAAGGAGGATAGAAGAATTGATGCCTTTGAGCTGTAGTGCTGGCGAAGAGTATTGAATGTACCATGGACTGTCAAGAAAACAAACAGATTCATCCTGGAGGGGGTTAAACCAGGCAAGGATTCTGAGGCTTCGTCTGACATACTCTGGACATGTTATAAGGAGGGTCAGGTCCTTGGAGAGGGACATCATGCTTGGGAGGGTGGAGGGACAGCGCAGGAGGGGAAGACCCTCTATGAGGTGGATTGATTCAGTGACTGGGGTAATCTGGATGGGAGTGTCTGAGAGAGTGCAACTGGCACAGGACAGAGCAGGGTTTAGAGCTGTTGTACATAGGGTCGCTATGAGTTGCAAACGACTCGATGGCACATAACAACAACAACAAAAACCACCACCACCTCTCTGGCAGTTTAAATCCACCAGTTGCTCCAAAGGGGACAGATGGCCAGTATACTCCTAAATGATTTAAAAGTCTCTGACAACCCACTAAAGTCGGTTCTAAGTCAACGGCACACACAACAGTGGCATATTTGCATTGCCCATTGGGCTGTTAACTGAAAAGTCGGTGGTTCAAGTGCACCAGCCACTGGATAAGACAAAGGTGGGCAGTGTCCGCTCCTAAAAATTCACAGCCTCCGAATCGCGCATGGAGGGTCACTGTGAGTGTAAGGTGACTCAGAGCAAGTGGGTTTTTGTTTCACGTCATTAAAACATCCATGCCAACAAAACATCAAACCGCCACTGGATAAATGGTCCTCTTACACAGTCACGAGGCCAGATCAATGACTGACTGACACGGAATTGCTTTTCTCCATATACTTTATTAACAAATCCAGACGGCAGCAGAATCCTTCTCCATGCCCGCCTTTCCCCTTTCAGTGAGGGAATTTTTTTTATCTTTTTTTTAAAACTTAATTTTAATGAAAGTTTACTGAGACTTAGATTGTTGCACATTTCTTCCTGCCCACCCCAACATTCACTCTTCTTGAAAAGTAAAACTCTTTCATTGTTATGCAATCCCTCCCCCCAAGTCCACTCCACTGTGCAGCCTTCACGCTGGACTTCTGTCATGACAAGAATACCCATTCATATGTCCCTTTTAAACAGTTCTCTCCCTCATCTGTTTCAATGCAGTATACATCATTCCTCCCCTCCTTCTCTATCTTTCCTCAACCCCGATGTCAGCTCCGTTTTACAACAGTGGCCCTATGCAATATTTGTCCTATTGTGACTGAGATATTTCACTCAGCATAATGTCCTCCAGGGTCATCCATTTTGCATAATATTTCATTAGTTCCTTTTTTTTCCAATGCTCCGTAGTATTCCATTGTGTGAATATACTAGAGCTTCTCTATCCATTCATTTGTTGATGAGTACTTGGGTTGTTTCCACCTCTTTGCTATTATGAACAATGCCGCAATAAACATGGATGTGCATATATCTGCTTGGGTGGCAGTTATGGTTTCTTTAGCATAAATTCCCAGTACTGGACTTGCAGGGTCAAATGGTATTTCTATTTACAACTTTTTGAGAAAGCACCATACGGCCTTCCATAGTGGTTGCACCACAGTCAGGGGTTTTTATGGTCAGTTATTAACCTACATTTCACTGTTTTGTGTCCATAGTTACAGGGCTCCTGTCATGTGGAGAACCAGTTCATATCTTAACTGCCACAATGCTTCTAACACTGTGCTGACTGAGGTAGTGTTCAGATGCCAACCAGCTTGTCAAAATGTCACCTTCTTTTCTGTGGCTATCCCCCACTGACCTTGAAGCAAGCAATATTTTCTACTTACCCCTTGGACTCTTCTCCATTTCTCAAAACCATAACATTCACTTTCCCAGAGGTGAGCGGTTCGAATCCACCAGATGCTTTGCGGGAGACGAAGGGACTATCTCCTCCTGTACCAGTCAGATCCAATTTGACGGTACACACACACACAAAATAATAATAAAATTTAAAAAACAAAACAAAACATTCACTTAAGGTGAGATCAGAGTTTTCTAAATTCAAGCCCATGGAATTTTAACCAGAGTGCAAACCTTCACTTTTATTTATGTTCCATATTCTAGAATATGAATGCAAATAAATTCTGAGCTTTATTATACTATCTCTCGAAACCCAGACCCTGTGCTGTCAATTCTGACTTCCAGTGAGAGGTCCAAGGCTGTTGTTGTTGTTGTTGTTATGTGCCGTCAACTTGCTTGCGACTCACAGCGACCCTATGTACAGCATCCCTAAACCCTGCTCTATCCTGTGACAATCGTACTGCCTCTGACACACCCATCCCGATTACCCCAGTTACTGAATCAATCCACCTCATAGAGGGCCTTCCCCTCCTGTGCGGACCCTCCACCCTCCCAAGCATGATGTCCCTCTCAAAGGACCAGTCCCTCCTTGCAACATGTCCACAGTATGTCAGAGGAAGCCTCAGAATCCTTGCCTCCAAGGAGCAGCCTGGTTTAACCCTCTCCAGGATGAGCCTGTTTGTTTTCTTAGCAGTACACGGTACATTCAATATTCTTCTCAGGTTGTGCCAAGAAATCTGGAGAACCACCACCAGGCCAACTGACTGGAAGAGATCTCTATTTATTCCCATTCCAAAGAAGGGTGACCCAAGAGAGTGTGGAAACTATAGAACGGTATCATTGATTTCACACGCAAGCAAGATTCTGCTGAAGGTTATCCAAAAACGACTGGAACAGCACATCAGCAAAGAACTACCAGAAGTCCAGGCTGGGTTTAGAAGGGGTCGTGGTACTAGGGATACTGTAGCTGATGTTAGATGGTCCAAGGCTCCATCTTTGTTTTGCCTAGCTGCTGCTGGGTTTAAACCCATGACCTTTTGTTTCGCAGCCTAGCAGTCTAACCCCTGGACCAACAGGGTTCATTTCAGTGCTAACTATTGTGAAATGTATTCTATGGATTCATTCCTTGAACCCTCAAAACAACTCTGAGATAGGAGAGAGCCATAGAGTTGTTGTGAGGGTCGAATGCATTGACTTATTTGTGGGAGAGAAAACTGAGGCACAGAGAGGCTGAGGAATCTGTCCAAGAGTGTTGCAGACCGAGGGTCCCAAAGAATAGAATAATTTTATCATTATTAATAAAGAGACAAACAGCCAGGAATGAGATAGAGCAGAGAGCATAAAACAGGGGGCCAACAGTTCTCGACTGAAGACCCCAAGCCCTGCTTCTCTGAGAATTTATTTAGAATCATAAGATAAAAAAAGTAAAATCACAAGGAAGTACAAAACAAAGGATAATGGTGAAGTCTTTTACAGATAAGACCAAGTTCCTCAAGAGGGAGGAATCACAAGATTCCTCAAGAGGGGAATCTAATCTCAAGAGGGAGGGGTTCATTTGACACAAACTAAGAACAATGTTAACTCCTAAGGAATGCCCCAGTGCCACAAGGTGACCTTCAGCTTGTATTAAGCCTCCCTCATTTCCTGATACAGC